CCAGCTCCTGCGCTCCCCACACCCGAAATCCTTCCTGTCAGGCAGGAGTGATTAGATTGCTTTGCCTTTCAATGCAGGCAGAATCAAAAGGTCAGGGGAGTGCTGACCAGCTGAGCCACCAGAGTGGAACATTTGCATTTTTTTTTTTTTTTTTTTTTTTTTTTTTACTTTTTGTTTTATTTTGAGAGGTTGGCATTGGGGGGAGTTACAAAAAGGAGTTTCTCCTCTTGGAAACTTTCAGCTCTTTAGTAGGGGTGTTGCTTGGCTTCAGTTGTTACTTTGTAGGAAATAAATAATCACCATCATTCTTAGCCTTCCATTTGACCCTGTAAGAATCAAATAATTTTTCATGAATGTTGGATAAACTCTGAAGAATCCTGCATTCCTCAGTATTGGGGCCTTATAATTTATCCTAATAGTGAAACATTTTTTCTTTTTTAATCATTTTAAGATTTTGCCAGTTTGTTTAGAGATCATTCCTAACCATAGGAGGGAAACATCGTATTTGGCTCCCATCCCTTGTTTTCTGGTAACCACTGACCAACCCTTACCTACTGGCTTTTAAAAGATCTATACTTGTTATCCCAGTAAACTCCACTGCTATCATTTTTTTTAGTTATTATTTTTTAAAAAGCCTTGCAGATCTTTCTTTCTTTGTTGCCTATCCTTGAAACAAGTTATCTTCCCAAAGTAAAAAGCCTCTTATACTAGATTAGTGGTTAGTTAATAAGGCTGATTTTCTATATCTTACCATCTGAGCTCTCCATGGGGGAAAGGAAGAATTTTTTTTAGTGATAATAACAAGTGTGAGCTAGTTTTTTTCACACTTTTGAAACTATGACCACCAGCACTGCTGCCATGCCGATCCCCGCCCCACTGCCAAAGTAGGAGGTTGAAGGGAAGTGTTACTTGATGCTGCTGTTGGATAACCTTTACCTAAATTTTCTGCCAAGGCGGTTGCATTCACTCTGCATCCTCCCGGCAGCAAGTTTCCCAGGAGAGCAGTGCTGCATGCATACAGCCCTGTATAACTACTGCTTTAATAGCACGGAGCAGCATCAAACCCTCGGCCCTTATACGTCCTCTCTGAACCTTACCGTGACTGACCTTACTATGATTTTCCCTGGGTAAATTCAAAAACTCCCAGGGTAGGAAAGCTCCTTTTGGCTGTGGGGGTTGTTCCTCGTGTACTATTTTCTTTTTAATTTTATGAGCTTAGGTAAAGACTGTCCTTTTCAGCGTTAACTTGTTTTCTGAAAAGTAACAACTTTATGTTGGAAAGATTCTGGAATGATTTACCTAGCTGCTGAAGCTGAGATTAGGGTTTCTCTCCTAATCTTTGTGAAACTGATAATATTTTGATGGGATGATTTTTTCTTTTTTAATTTAGATGAGCCTACTTTCCTTTAGATTGCCTTTTCTTTTTTTTTTTTTTGTTCTTTTTTCCCTCTTTTTTTTTTGTGTATTCAACAATCTTTGTTCCCAAAATATTGGTTTTAACGCTTTTTTTTTTTTTCAGAGACTCAAAAGTATAATGAAAGCTGTCTCCTTATTGAGCAGTTTTCCTGGAGTCACTCTGAGCTGGAATGAGTCTAGGAGCTTGTGTTCTCTGTCTGTTTTCATGTGTTATGTTGATGGCATCCCCCTTCGGCCACATCTCCCTCCCCATATCAAATAACTCCTTGGTCTGAGCTTTGGGCTGCTTTTCCCCCTCTTGCTGTTGCATCCTCACTTTGTTGGTGACTATAAACTGCCACCATGTATTGTTTTAATTTTGAGCACAATGTGAATTCTTTCCCAATGTGACTGATGTGCCCTCTTTTGGGGCTAAGAACCCATAGATCACATGCACTTCTCCTCTGTGAAATGAAACCTCTGGTGCTTCTTTCTTTGCCACCTAATTTCCATGTTTTAATTTTGACCCAAAGCACTTAATACAGTAAGGCAGCTTGACACCTCTGTTGCATAGTCTGAAGTAACATGTGGTGTCATTTTTACATGACGTCCTGGTGTCCCAAGGGATTATTAATAACAAACTCTGCTGTGCTGAAAGGAAAAAAGAGAGAGAAAATAAACACAGACCCATTGGGCTCAGGGGAAGCTGAACCTGACTAGTGTGCAGAAAGAGGCAGAGACGTTCCATTTGTCTGGGAAGCATCATGCGTACTGCTGTTTGATAGAAAGCATTAGAACGGTCATTCAGTAGAGTATTATGGTATGATTTCCTGCATGTAGCCTGAATAAAGCCATGATTGGTGTGTTGTAGGAAAAACGGATCGTGTCCCTGGATTCGGCCAACACCAGACTGATGAGCGCGCTGACCCAAGTGAAGGAGCGATACAGCATGCAGGTCCGCAATGGCATCTCCCCCACCAACCCCACCAAGCTTTCCATCACGGAGAATGGTGAATTCAAAAACAGCAGCTGCTGACGGGCTTTCTGAATAGACAGACTGTGGGGGGAGACAGAAGGAAATTTCCCGCTCTCCTGTCCCCAAGCCCTTTACCCAACCCCACCAGGTTTACAGAATGTTGCTACTTCAGAAGCAGTGTGGCGAGAAACTCTTGAATGAAGAAAGGAAGCTTGTCTTTCAGGGCACAAGGCTAAGACTTCCAAGGTCGATGCTTTCCCCCCATGTCTCTATGTACATAGGGAACTCAGTTCTGGGCCATGTACAGAAAATACCACTGTAATATACCAAAAGGAAGTTAATAATGTAGATTACCTTTTTAATTATTGCTATTTTTATTATTGTTTTCCTCTTTGTTGAAAGCACTGCAGTTGTTAGAGGAGAAAAGTAGGAACTATGTGTGAGTGAGAAATGAGCCCAGGGGTTCAGTAGGTGGAGACCAAGTGTCTGTGTGATAGAAGCACATGGCGTGCAATAGGACATTGTCAGAATGAATTTTTCAGGGATTCTTCTGCCCACTCTGGCCCCCTTGTCCTTTAGGAAAACATGCAAATACCAAGATCCAAACGAAACAGTTTATCCCATTGATCAATCAAGACTGGTTCTAGATGGATGGCTGATCTGATTTGGGGATGCACTGTTTTAGAGGACACAGATAAGAGCTGTTGCATCAAAACTGGACTTTAGGAGTAATTTCTGTTGAACTCCTGTTGATGTTTATTTCCTTCTGTCAATAGCAGATGGGAATTTTCCATTTTAGATAGGGGGCTTTTTTTTGACCCCAGTTGTAATAAAGGGTGTTCTTTTTCCTCTTTAGAGTTTACAAAACTATAAATATTTGTGTCTCTATATTCCATTTTCATCTTCACACACCCACTGCACTTTCCTCCCCCGTGGTGGGAGCAGTCATCACCAACAGGGTTTACTCTCCCCTGGAGAGGTTATTGAAAGATGCTGTCCATAAGCCATCCGAAGTCAACAACCTTTCTTCCACACAGAAAAGGGCTAACCATCCCATAGCAGTGATCTCTGAATATTTCCTATTTAAAAAAAAAAAGGACATTTTCTATTGGTAAGTTATAATTTTTGTTTGGGATGAAGATTTTATCCATTTGTACTAGCAAATCTCTGGGTAGGGTAATTTTATCTCAGTCTTTAACTTTTAAATTGCTTCTTTCTCTAATCCTCTCAGTAAAATTTGGTAAGGAAATCCAAATCTGAAGCATCGCTTTCTTAAAAGTCATGATTACTCTTCTAAAGAAAGAAAACAAAGTGTGAGGACAGCGCATTCCAGTTGTTATTCCCACGCTTTTAGTCGATTTGGCAGTAATGACCCAGTTTCACCAATCGTCATCCTTGACTTTGTTATGAGACAGAAATAGTCGTGGAAGCTAGTTTACTTCCTTTTTTCCAGAGATGTGAAATGTCATCTTGAATGCAGACTTGACTATCAGAAATATGGACTGTTACATGTTAGATATTATATATACAAATATATATACATATATATTCACACATATGTACATAGAACTGCACAAATAGGAAACGTTCATGCCTTCTATGCTATTGGATGTAATGTTAAAAGGGTTTTGAATCTCTTTAAGCAAGATCTAAGCAGTTGTTTGTATTGAGAAAGCAACAACATTTCTCAAATAAGTTAATGATGTTTATTTGAGTAAATTATAAACTTGAAGGAAATTTTAACAAAAGAAAGGAGGAGAGGGAAAAAAAAAAGGACCTGCAGGAGCCATATGCATGGAGTGGGTGTTTCTACATGGCAGAATATTTATAAGGGAACAGGAGTGAAGCCCAGACAGACACCAAGCCTCCCTTTCACCACGCCCAGGCTTGCACTCTGACCTCTTGAGCACTGCCCTCTCTCGGGTGGCTCTTTGTGTTGGACCTTGCATCTTCAGCAACCTCACCATGGCCCCCCAACACACAGCCCTTTAAAACATTTCCCTTCATAACACTCCCGTGTCTGCCAGCCAGAGATCTAAAACAGGAGCTGCTCATTGTGCTTATCTGATCTGCAGACTTGAGGCCCACTTGTTCTGGCACTTGTATATTTTCTTGACCGTTGGTAATTATCTTATACAGTCTTATCTCTTCCCTCCAAGCTGAGGGCATACTGTGGTCAAAATCACTTAGTTTAATAGGAAAAAATTACCAATTCTGAAATAGTAGTGCCCTTTGTTGGAGGAGCGGGGATCATAAACATACTCTGTGCTTGTTGGTGGCTGTTCTCAGCTCTAGCCATGATTAATTAATTCTTTGTAAAAGCCTTCAGTTGTGCAGCAGAAAACCTGGTAAAAAGAATTGTCAGTTTTGATGGCCTTAAGTATGTAACGTGCCTGATGTCTTACATTGAGGTTTGAAGGCTCTCAAGTGTTGGTTATGGATTACAGAGGGCTGATAAATGTACCTATATTGGGGTATTGGGGAAGACACAAAATCAAGTGTGTTTTTGATGGATGCAATATATCTTATTGGCATTGCGGGAGCTCTTTAGATGGCTGCCTACTTTGGAAGATTAAATGCCCAAAATGGTTGCACAGATTATGCAGCTCTCTGTTATGAGGTTAGCTTGAAGGAAGAGAAAAGAGTAAAAAAATTAACAGTAGAAGTAAGCTAGAAGCTCAGAGTTGTTACCAGATGTTAAATTTTAGATTATCCTTTGAGCCTATTCCTATCTAAATATTTTTCTGAGTATTTCTTTAGAGAATGCTGCCATCTTTAGAATTTATTCTGTAAGATTTTTTTTTAATATGGAGGAAGGCGGCAACAGCTGATAATTTTTATGCAGGTGTTGCTTAATTGGCTTTTCTTCAGCCCAAATAGGTACATACCTCTGTTTTGCTGGGAGGAGGTACATGCTTGAAGAGAAGCAGGTGGATTAATATACTCCTTGCACTCCTTCCACCCATCACATCACCACATTGTGGGCTGTAGCTTAGACCAGGGGTGAATGGAATTTGGAATTCAGGTGCAGTGCTTGCAAAGTGCTTATCAAGCTGACAACCAGACTTGGCCATTTACAAGGACAATTTTGGTAGGATTTAGGAAACGAGCTTCCTATTCCCCTTTTATATCACTGGAGCAATAAGTTTTCTGGGCCGAAGCAGCAAAAAGAGTTACATTTTCATCAGGTCATCATATTCCCTGAGTCTCTGCAATACCAGCTATGACAGAGGGGAGATTATAGCTAGGTAACTATAACAAACTCTTGAGCACTTACTGTTCCAGGCACTATCACCAAGGGACTGTTGCGGTCTAGGGCAGTCTTTTGGTAAGGGAAATGTGGTAAAATGACGTACTCATGCTGCTATAGCTTTTTGCTTTTTTCACTTAGTGTCGAGAATTAGCTTTCTCTGGTCTTCTTCCATCTTTCCCTGTGATGGTGTGGACAGTGAAAGAAAAAGTAGGTTTCCTGTCTACGACTGCTGTACGCCCTTGAGAATTAGCTTGACTTTAGACATAAAGCTTTTCAGATCCTGATCTACCTACAGCCTTTGTTTATGGATCTGTAGTTCTGTAGACCACTGGCTCTCACTCTGTCCTCAGAGACACACTGGGTTTGGGAGCAGTTGTTTTTTGGAAGTCCCAGAGCAAGACAATTGCCATCAAGTGAGTTTGCATTCGTATTTGTTTTGCCTTCCATCTAGTTTTAGTTCTGTTATCTCCAGTTTGGAGTTCTGAGAAGGCTAGTTGTGGGACTGAACTTGAGGAAGGAACCCTCTTGGGGATTACCTAGTCGACCCTGAGCCCCAGGCTTGACACCAGAGTAGAATTGTCCCTGGGCCTGACTCAGCAGCTCCTGAGCCCATGCCACAGCTTCCCTGCATTTCCAGATACACTTTTGGAGGCCTCCTTCTCCCACAGATTGTGGAAAGCCAAAAAGGCTTTCTTCTTCATTTCCCCTGCCCTTTTTCAGGTCTAGTAGGAAAATCTCCTGTTTGCCCCAGCAGTAAATAGTTGCCTTCCCACCCCCATCTGGGGGCCAAGAACTTGGGATACTTTGTTTTTATCAATATGTCAGTTGCAAGGGCCTATTTTACTAGTTTTTTAAAAGCAAGGTATATTGGGGTGTTGAATTTTTAAATAGAATCTCTTTTCATGTTTGAGTGATTGTTATTTGTTCTAGGAGCATTCTCTTGTTGTCATGACCCAGTTATGAATTCTTTTGAGTTTATGAAGGACAAAAGTGATGAAATTTGCATGAGATAGAATAAATATCTTATGAGGAGTAAAAGAACCTGAGGAAGATACATGATCCAAAAGGGAACCAATGCACAGCTGCCTTTTCAGTAGCCCAAAGGTTCAAGGAAACAGGAGGATTTATATCCTTTGCCTGCTCTTAAAATACATAGATAAATGGAAAGGCAGTTTCTGTAAACAACGCACGCATAGCCACACAAAACACAATTCCTATGGCTTCCTTTTTCTGAATGTTAATCCATCTTACAGAGCAGTGATTCCCAAACTTTCTTGAGTTTTTTACATTTTATGCTCTCATTTGTTAGATTTTATGACAATGGTTCTTTCCTCTTTAAAATGTACCATATGTGTTATATGTATATGTAAGTTAAAGTGACTTGAAATTGATTTGGTTTGACATTGTCTCAGAAGCCCTAGATATTAATGTTGATACCACGGGGAGTCATAGAAAGAAAGTTGAATATCACTGATCTGACAGTAGGAGCCAGAAAGAAGTCGCTTTTGTTCCTGATCAGTTAATCCTCAGGTGTTTGAGTAACCAACCCAGCAAGACTTGTCAAATGCGGTAAGCCACCCAAGGAAAGCAAAGTGGTAGTTTTTGCCCATATTTCAGCATGTATTTTAATTTCCTGCTCAGTTCTTATTTTTCATCCAAATGTCCTCATTTTTCCCTAGGAAATTTTTTAGTTTGGGACTTAAAACCAGATTTATCTGTTGTTGTAGAGAGATTTCCACAGAAGCTGTGTTTTAGGGACCTCCATCATCTGGGGGGGTACAAATATTTATGTATAAATATCATAATTTTGTCTTTTCTAAACTCTCAAGGGAAAAATTCCCAGTCCACCAAAAGGTTAAATACTAATTGACTCAATTACCAGTCCAACAAAAGGTTAAATACTAATTGACTCAATGACCACTATGCTGCAGAAAATCTGAAATAAATAGTAAAGCTTAAATTTTGACTGGTGCTTAGATATTTCCTAGTTACATTAAAATTAACTCAAGCAGATAGCAGCACATTAACCTGAATCACACCTGTGAAGAATTTACCTTCTAAATTTGATTTTGTTTTTCATCTCCAGGGCCTTAATAAAAGTGTGTTAATACACATGACTATTTTACAATGATAGTTCTAAATAATTTATTTTTTATTTCAAGAAAGAGAAATACACCTTAGAAAAACAAAACCCAAGATTTTATTTTATTTTTGAAGCCATATTTTTGTGCTAGTAGCACTTAGATTGTTCCATATGTGAGATCATACCTGCATTTCGTTACCTGGGTTTGTTCTAAAGATGATTTATTTTTGTTCTGTGAATAATTTTTGATGGTTCTTGTACATGTACAGATATAGATACGTTTGAGGTCTTTTATTGATAGTCCTACAAAGAATACAAATAAACTTTAACTTTAAACATTTCAGACTAGAGTTGCTACTGTATTTGACGTATTAGTATCTTACTTCTAGCATATATCTGGGTGATTAGGACACTTGGAGAAAAACCAGAAAGAAAATATGCAGGAACATTATTCCAAAGGTATATTTTAATATTAAGAACAATGTGTCTCAGAATTTCCCAGTTTACAGGTAAAAAAATATTTAGATGTAGGACAAATAGCTAGCATTGCATTGTGATAATACCTTATTCTAGAGAATTTGAAATCTCATTAATAGCTTGTGGCTGGTAAAGAAAGTGTCCTCCACTTTATTTGGAAGTATGGCCCTACTTAGCTTCCCAGACCACTACTGTCCTCTCTTAATTCCCCAGATAGATTAATGGAGTTTGTTTCAGGATTTTTGTTGTTTCGTTCTTGGGGTTTTTTGTTCTTGTCTGCTTGTCAGTCTCAAGGTTATTGTTCCAAAATACTTTCATCTTCTCCTGCTTACCTATTTCATTCTGTAAAATCAAGGGATGCAGGTTCCATGTGTAGTTTTCTTTTGTACTAGGTGTTAAGTCTGAAATTCCACCACTTAACCTCTTCACATATTTGGAGTTATTTCTAATTCTGATCTACTAGGAATTAAAAAAACTAAAATTCACTCAAAATCCAGAGACGATTGTGTGAGGAGACTCCAGATCAGTAGACTTGTGCTATTTTTTGTTTACTTCAAAGCTGATCCATTTCAATCTGAATGTTTCATGACCTAATGTAAACTTTAAGACTTCTTGGATCTGAAACATCAAAAAGAGAGAGACTATTGATGCTATCTTGTGACCCCCTGGTCATCTTAGCCCTAAACGGTCCACCTATAGACGCTTATGTCCAGCCACGCCCTTTATTTTTCTGAGCCTCCCTCCAGCTGCCTGCCTTTTGTCATAGCACCTTCACCAAAGGGAAGGCGCATAAATCAATTTTGTTAGGCCACCACCATCACCCTCCCCAGCAAAATATATGTATATGATGACAAAGGAGACTAAAACAAATGACTTAATGAGTGCTCCTCAACCCTGACTATTCATCAGAATCACTGCAGAACTTTAAAAAAAAAAAAAAAAAAAGAGCAGGGATGCCGCTTTCGCTCCACTGTACAATTAAATAGAATCTCTCTAAGGATAGGGGCCAGGCTTTTTTTTTTAAACTTCCCTATAGGATTCTAACTTCAGCCAGGGTTAAAAACCACTAGTCCTCTGTGTGTGAGTGTCTGTTACAATGTTTCTGGGATAAGTTGGCTACAGGTGTTTCCCTGCCTTCTATTTGGAATTTAAAATGCTGCTAAAACTGATAATATGTACTCTACCTTCCCCCCCACACACCTTATCCCCACCAAGTCCATCCTTTAAATCTGTGAGGTAGAAATTGTCTCCATTAATATGGGACAGATAGATTCCAACAAACGTGACCAGAGATGGAATTTCCCATTTTGACCCCAAATTTCCCATTATTGGCTTTAATTTAAAACAGAAGGTAGATGGTTTCTGGTTTGGCTCACCCCCTCCAAAAAAAGGGGGTCTTTGGCTTTTGTAGACCTAGTACTCAGCACTGCAGTCTTATTACTTGAATCAGATGCTGAATTGCATCATTTGCACCTGTTCTTCCTTCAATAGCAAAATGCACTGAAACCTCTCCAGTTCCCTTCCCCACTTCCTGGCAGGCATGCTCACACAAGTGCGTGCACACACACAGACACATTCTTACACACACACACATTCTTTCTAGAAACTTGAGTGTGTGAGATTTTAGAATGAACTGCCTGGGTCCTATTTCTTCGGCACCCAGTAAATTGAGTAAATTGCAATAAGCTACCAGATAGATGCCAATCTGTGTCCTTGTCTGTAAAATTATGATTTTGGCTAGATGACCTCTGACATCCTGTGCTTCTCATCTGCTGTAACTGAAAAATGTGCCCTTTTGCCATATTCAAAAATCAGCTTGAGACTTTTCTGGCAATATTTAGGGACAATTCTTCCTCTTCACAAGCTCCCATCTCACAATACTCTTAAAAGAACAGAAAAAAAAAGCCTGGAACAGTTGTATACTCAGAACAATAACAAGGTTGATAATGATAATAAGAACTAATGTTCATGTTTATTGAGCACTTACTATGTGCCAATTTGCTAAATAAGCACTTTCTATGGATAATTCATTTAATCATACTACCAACCATGTGAGTTAGGTACTGTTATTCCTAATTCAGGAGGAAACTGAGGCTCAGAAAGATTAAGTTACTTGTCCAAGGTCACATGGCTAATAAGTGGAAAGCCAAGACCCAAACTCAGGTCCTTCTGACTATGCTGTCTTGATTTTTTTTTATAAAAAAAAACGAGGTCAGGAAAAATGTTGGCGAGAGTAAGAAAAAGATGTGAGAAGATCTCAGCATATGAACCAACCTGTCACCATGAGCCAAAGTGATGGTGCTGGGAACAGATGAGCTAATTTTCCAAAGCTTTTTCTCCTAATGTATTGGTTGTGACAGTATTGCCTTGCATTGTCAAGTCATCTGACTGATCAAAATTAGAAGTGGGCAGAAGTCTCACCTCACTCAAAAATTGGTCTTTCATATTTTCTGGGTCCATCAGAGCTGGGATGGTAAAATCTGCTTTCAGTATTCCAAAGTGTTGCCCTGAAAGAGAAGGTGCTCCCTGATTCAGGGGAAATGATCCTGTTGCCATTTGCAAACTTCAAGTTCTTAGCAGTCAGGAGTGCCCATTAGACACCACGGAGGCTCCATGGAGATTAAGGATTTCAAAAAGGAAGAGGAGAAAGAAACTGCTGAACAGAAGAATGCTCAGCCACAGTTAGGACCAACCAACCCGTGGCTGAAAGGAGAGTCTCCTGTGGGGTAGTGCTGGCTCTCCTCCCACATCCTGGCCACCCTCAGGTATTTAGTGTCTTTTCCATCTCTTCTGTTTTTTCCTCCTTCCTTTGAATCTATTAAGTGGATGCTCCACACCATGCTGGAAATAGTCACCTCTCCCTGGGCCCACATTTGTAAAGGCCAACTCTACCCCCAAAAAACTCTAAGTTCTTTGAGTCTATAAACAAATCCTTCGGCTGTGAGCCACTGTAATTATCACAGGAACTACAGCCTCATGATAGGACTCCTTATATTTGTAATGCGTTTTATAGTTTATAAAGTACCTTTGCATAATTACCTCACTGGGTGCTTTCAACAGCCTTGTGATGTAGGCAGGGTTGTTTTTACTGTAGCCTTTTTTGCAGATGAGAAATAGAGGAGATTCTAGAGTGAGAAAATTTGTTCCCCAAGCTTTCCCAATAGTCAGGGAGCTAATCTAGGATCCTCATCCTTGTTCCTATTTCTGTTTCCTTCCCGACATGTCATGTTGTCTTTCATAAAAAGGTCTTGAGTGCCCTGTGCTAAGGAGTGGCTGTCCAGATTTAACTGCTCGGTTATTAAGAGTGGGAGCTTGGTAACCAGAAGCAGTTACCTGATTCTGGTGCTGGAGTTTTTTCTTCAGAGTCTGGGTGGTTAGATGAGTTCAAATGTGCCTCTGTGGCAGTAGCTGCATCTCTCGTATCAGTGCCACTCGCTCCACTGGGCACAGCTACAGGAGAGGAAAATAAAGGAGTTATTGCAAATACAGCCAGGAGCAAGGCGGTCTGAGCTAGAAGACAAGCGTGGGCAGCCACTGCTGTGCACACAGTTGCTGCAGAAACCATCCAGTGTGGGATGCTCAATCCCTGCCAATCCTTGACTTACTCCCTCAGGCTCATGTACCCAGCCCTTGAGTTGCTACACCATCACCTCTCATAAAGTGTCCCTGATTTCAGGATTTGTGGGGATTGGGCAATATATTATGAGATTTCTCCTCAGTACCAAATATTTTCTTTCAGTAGTTCCTACTCCAAGAGGCCCAATGCCCTTAGGTTGTCTGCCAGCTACACAGAGCCCCCACCATGGCACCCAGGGACCTCCAACATCTCCATCAAAGGGTAGCATCTCAAACTCAAAGCATTCCAAAACCTAGCTCAGCCTTCCCCCAGCAACCTCCTCTTCTTGTGTGGCTGCCCATCTCCTGAGGCACTCTAGCCAGAGACCGCAGGGATCCTCAGCTGCTCCCTTCCTCCCCTCCACTTGCTCTCATGTTCAGTCACCAAAGTCCTGTCAGTGCCTTGCAGGTGTCTTTTTTTCTTCTCAAATATGGAAATAACCATATTGGTTTTGTGTTACGTTATTATAAAATATTTAAGCAAAAGTTTCCCCTCCCCTGACCCAGGGACAACCATTATTAACAGTTTGCTATAGAATATCCTTCACACACTTGAATTTTTTTAATTTGAATGTGTGAAGCTCTACCTTATTCTCTTTAAAGGCTACATAGAATTTCATTGAATGTACCATAACTTACTTAACCAGTCTGCTTTCAATGGACATTAAATTGCCTCCAGTTTTTCACTGTAATAAACAATGCTGCAACAAACATCCCTGTATGTGGAGGATGTGTATATATGTGTGCACCTTGTACTATTATTTCCTGAATAAATTTCCAAGGGTAGAATTTCTGTATGAAAGGGTATGCACTTTTCAAAAATGACAAGCATTGCCAACATGGTAGCACCAGTTAACTCTCCTATCCAGTGTCTGAGGTCGCTGATTTTCCCACCTTCTCATCAGCATTATCACCCTTTTAAATCTTTGCCTAACTGGTAAGGAAAAAAATAAATTTTTAAAATGCATCTTGCTTTTAATTTGCATTTCTGTGATTCAATAAACAAAGCTGAGCATTTTTTAAAAATGTTTTTGTATTTCTATTTCTTCAATTAATGTCACTTGCAAACGATGTAAGGTCAATTCCCTCCTCACCCTGCTGCTCCAAATCTGGCCTCAGTTCCGCTCACCCAGACTGTGCAAGTGTCCCCACACATACCCTTCCCGTCTCTCCTCCTCGTCGGCCTCCTCTCCAAACGCCCTCTTCTTTCCCCACCCAAAATATTGTAAATGTCTTTAATGAAATGAATAAATTTGTAAAATCCAGAAACACAGAAGGGAGGAAATGCTCATATTCTCACCGCCTGAATATAACCACTGCTGACATTTTCACACATTTCCTTCCAATCTTTTTTCTAAGCCTAGGTTGATGTTTCCTTTCAGTGGTGTTGTGACAGTATTACATGTATAATGTTGAATCATGCCTTTTTCCTTTAGCATCCTTATATAAACCTTGGTCCATGTCATTATAACCACCTTGCTTCTGTTAACTACACATCTGAGCATATTCCTCTGATGGCTCCCCTGACTGCAGCATCAAGTCCTTCAGAATCTGGCCCCAGTCCATCTCTTTCCCCTCAGCCCTTGCCACTCACTTCCCAAATATGTGACCTACACTCCAGTCACATCAGACTGTCATTCCCAAACCACACACTTTCATATCTACCTATCTTTGCCCATGCTGTTCCCTCTGCCAGGAAGAACCTTCTAGTCTTTGCCCCACCACCTTTCCAGGGAGAATGAATGAGTCCCTTTCCTGCCAAGGCTCTTGCTCCACACTTCTGGTGCAGCGCTTATCAAACTGTCCTGGTCGTCTCTATTAGTCCCTGTTAGACTAAGCTCTCTTAAAAACAGGAAACAGGTCCTGCTCATCTTGGTATCCACACTTCAATGCCTTGTTCAAAACAGGTACTCAGGAAATGACTGTTGAATTAAATCATCTGCCAATGTGCAAAACAGTGTTCTACGCCTGGGAAAGAGAGAGTCATAAAACAGTTCCTGCCTTGTGAGATTCCGCAATCTCAATAATTCATAATTGTGATCATTCATAATCATTTATAATTAATAAAATCTTAATGAGGCCAGCCCTGTCTATGGAATAAGGTAAGGACAGAGGCCGGAGATGGAATTAATCACTAAGCATTTCACTAGCGAATAGAGATTAGAATGGTAATAACTACCATTTATTGTCTGCCAGATGCACTGAAAGGTACCTCATGACATTGGTATTTTTCTTCACTTTAAAGATGAGAAAAATGAAGTTCCTAGAGGTTAAGAAACTTTCCTAAGGCCACACAGTAAGTAGTAGAGCCAACATTCCAACCCTTGGCTGTCAGACTCCTGTAGCCGAAATAGACTGTTTCTCCCCTAGATCGCCCCACCCTAAGTTATTGTCCAGGGAGGAGGAGAGAGTGACCTGGCTCTGGCCAGACACAGTCCCCTGTAGAGTGGACTCGAATGCAGCCAGAGGTGGGTCACTGTGGTCCAGCACACGACCTGCGCCCTCCACCTCCCCGCCTGTGGCCTGAGCATGGAAGCTAGGGCCTGGTCTCCCCAGAGGAGCAGGAGGGCGCTGGGGCCGGGCCCAGGGCCGGGTGCCCAGCCCCCAGCGATGCAGGCAGGCCGTTTCAGGCCCCGGCCAGCTCCCAGCTGTCTGCGGGCGTGCGGCCTGGCTCCGGGCTGCCCGCTCAGGGCGCGCGGTGGTTCTCTGGGGCGCAGTCGGGCTCCCTGGGCCAGAAGGCCCCGAGGTGCTTTCCTCGGTACCCAGAATGCTCGCCGGAGTCCCGGAGCCGCTGGGCCAGCCGGACGTGGCCAACCCAGGGGGCGCCGCCACCCTGGAGGTAGCTGAGGCGGGCCGGTGGAGCTGAGCGACGGGCCCACTGTTGCCTCCCGCGGAGTCCAGGACCTGCCGTCGGTAACGGGGTGCTCCAGGGGCAGAGGGACAGCGGCAGGGCTCGAAGCCGAGGCCATGGGGGTCCCAGTCACGATCTGGGCGACGGAGAGGTTCCCCGGGGTTGTTGGACCAGTGGGGCTCCGCGCGGCGGGCGGCGGGGAGGCCGGGGTCGCGGGGCCGGAGGACGCACTCTGGGCAGTCACCAGCGGGGTCAGGGGCCTTTCCCCGGGGCCCAAGGCATCCCTTGGGGACGTGGGGTGGCCCAGAGGGCTCGGTGCCGCTGTCCCTTGGGGCTGGGGAGCCGCGGGGCCTGTGGAAACGGAGGCGCGGGGGCCGCGGGGGCCGGCACCGAGCTCGTCCGGCTCCGGGCTGACTCGCTGCGGCAGCGGCGCCGTCGGAGCCGGGCCCCGTGAGGCGCCCGCGGGGCTGGAGCCGCTCCCTGCGGCAGAAGAGAAGGCTTCTGTGGGCGCCGAGCGGCCGGGAGGGAGGTTCGGCCGGGGCGCGGGGCTCCGGGGCCTGCCAGGCGCGGGGCGGAGGGAAGAGCCCACCGTCGGGCCGTTGCTGCCGAGCCCTGCGGTGGCCCTGCGGGTCTTCCGCGCCCGGCCCTGACACCCATTGCAGTCAGAGGTGCACAGGGCGGGCCTCCAGAACCTGCTAGGAACGGCCTGGGGGGCCAGCGGGCCCGGGGCAGCCGGGCGGGTGCCCAGTTAGACCTTAGATGGGAAGCAGAAGACAGGCTCTTCCCCAGCTTGTGAACCGAATCTGACCACAGACACCAGCCCGGGCGCCGTTGTCTTCAGGGTGAGGGCCAAGTTCCTTAGCAACTCACAGGAGGCCCCCTGCAGGATCCGGGCCTCCCCGCTCAGCCCTAAGCACCTCCCACCCACCTGCGGGCCCTACCTGCAATCCCTCACGCGGCCACCTCCTCTCTCCTTTGCAAGCTACCTCCTCCTCGTAGTTGAAAATCACCTCCTCCAGGAAATCCTCTGATAATTACGGGAGCTGGGACAATCAGTCCTCTTCTCTGGGTCCCCTCTATGCCTGTGACTACACAGGCAGCACTGCCTTTCACAAGCCCTCTTCCCACCTGGCTGTCATCTCCTTCAGAACCAGCCCTGCCTTTTCTTTGTGTCCCCAGGATTAATGAAGCTCTGTGGGACCCTGAGCAACCCGCCTAACTTCTCTGTGTCCTCAAAAAAAGGCAATAATACCTTTGTCTGAGGTAGGAACCTGTAAAGAAGCCAGGAGAACTGTGATTTTTCCCTCGATTATCCGAGTTAGCTTCAGGACTCTTGGGAAGCAAAATGAGGTAATAGCTGTGACGATGTTTCAGGAATTTAAAAATGCTGAAGGAACATCATCACTGTCATTCCCAGGCATGTCCCCACACATCATCCCAACTCATCCCTCATCTTCTCTCCTCCCAAAGGAGCCCAGCATTAGAATGGATTTGACAGCCATGTCTACTGTGCTTCCCTCTCTGGGTGCCCAACCTCAAAGGCTTCTCTGATGATTTTTCCTCTGCAGCACTGCTCAGTGGCTTGCCCTCTGTCTCCCAGGCCAGGCCCTCATCACCTCACCTGAGAGACTGCACAGCCTCTCTTGGGTCTCCTGTCCCTGAAGCTGCAAGTTCAGTGGTCCAGTTCAAGGAAGGAGGTTGATGGTGACCAAGTCCTCCTTGCCCCAACCCCAGCTGGCCCAGCTGGGGGTGGGGGGTGGGGTGACACAGGGAAAGCCCTCTCTGCACAGGTGGCCCTTGGTTGCCACCCAGTTGGCTCACCTCTCTTCTGGCCCTTCTGGGAGGCCCCATGGGGCCCACCCTGTGCTGCTGCATGTAGGCTGCCCTCTCCATTTCCCAGGGCCTGGAGACCCCAGGATCCAGCCAAGAATAGGCTCAAAGCATGCATACAGAGTGTAAAACAGGGGAGTGTACTTGGGCTGGGTGTGGTCCCCACTGTCACTTCTGAGGGAGTGTAGAAGA